ATTATTCAACACTAACTTTCTGACTCGGATTTGCCTTAGTAACAGGTAGCCCAGAGAAATTATAGTAAGAAATATAAGCGTCATAAAGAGCAGATTTCAACTAGATTCTATGTATTAATTTTGTATCAGTCCGTTATTCATTTACTTATACATTTTTATGAATAAATGGTCAGTTTTAAAGTATTTCAGGTATAATTAATTATGGGGTCTATGAATGAAAGTACATTTTCGGTGGATTCGCGCTTAAGGCAAGATCTAATATAGTACTTATATATATATATATATATATGTGTGTGTGTGTCTATCATTTTATGAGCTTTCTGATAGATGCTGGCCAACTTTACACTATCTACTTTCCTTTTTTCCATGTGATCACATACGCAAGTAGTTCAATTGGCTGCACAATTAAATTGTTTCAAGACAAGAATTAAAACCTGTAAGATAATATCTCTCATCTAATTTATACTTTGACTTCAGCCTCAACATCCGAAACCTTGCATAGGAGTCATTTTTCATTGAGAGCGCACATGAGAGTTTTTTTTATGTACAATAAACTTTTTGGACAGTATTATCAATCTCCTAAATTTATTGCTCATGACATATTTTACTAACCATACTTTCTGAGTCAGTTTGGACTATAGCTTTCTTAGTTTTTGCTAACTACAAAGAAAGTGTCAGTTTACCTTAATTTCAATCATGAAAGACAGAGGTCCATTATCTCGGAGGCAAAATTCGGAGCCAGCAAGTACAAGTGAGTCAATTTTTTGAGCATGTAGATCTCGAGACTATCAGTAATTCTTCAATTATAACTAAGCCTAGGCTGCTTAGGGTGATTCAAGAATTAGTATTTAGGTCGGCCCCAAATAAGGTGAGTAGACCCCATGATACCGGTGGATTTTACTTGAGTTTCAAGATGCTAACTCACTCAGGATAGGCTTTACTGGAGTCTGGACCTAGCTCTAGGTCTCATCAAAACCCCCAGATTGCTTTAGAATTCCAAGTCGTGAGTATCTTAGGGAATTTACTGTTCCACCATACAGACATGGATGCCAGAGAGTTACAAGGCAAATGTGACATTTAAGACATAATGCCTCACCAGAAACATATTTATTGTGGAAGTGCAGATTAAGCAAACCTAGATTTACCACTGTGGTCGACGCAAATAGTTATTATCGAAGTGAGTAGTTTACGAGATTTTCAGTGATTCTTGAATAAGAATCTGGTCACCACAGCTTCCTTAAGATGATTTAAAAGCTAGCAGTTGATTTTTCTCACAATGAGATAAGTGGGCCTCTTGACGTCACGTCTACTCTGCGACTAAGTGGCACTAGTGGTAGTGGAGTGGAGTAGTAATATCACAAAGTGAAATTTAATTGTATCTTGTGGCCTTCTCTTTAAATTGTGAAAAAGGCCCATTCATCCATCCTGTAATCACTTGAACCAAGCTAAGGTGACTGAGTTCGTATACAATTGACTAGATCCACTTTTATCTGGAGCCTCGTTATACTGGATCTACTCATATCATTCTACTACCAATCTTTCATTACCTTAAACAAAATCGGGTGGTTACCTCTTATATTACTGATTTACTGGTAGTCTCGAAACTCTACTCAAATGTGAAAATAAATACTGGCTTGCCAAGAAGTTGGCCTCACCGGAAGCTATAGAGGGATTGCCTTGGAGCTGTGATTGTAGATTTGTGAGAATAAGTCATCTGCTTACCGCCATGCGACCCCGATGAATCCTTGCTGAGCTTTCGTCCGTCATGTGATGGACATCGTCAGGGCAGGAAACCAAGCTTTAACAATAATTTACCAAAATACGAAGACAATAAAGGTGGAAGTCTCCAAACCTACCTATTTTTATAGTCAAATTTCCTCCCCTGGTCTTTAAAACTCTGTTTGTTTTACATGCCCACGTTAATTTCTATTATTTTTTATTAAATACATAGTTCACGGAGAAAATTCGGTATGAATTATTGATGGATTGGCTCCCTGGTTAATTCCTTGCAGTCCCTGCCAGCTAATTTGAGAGGATTTTTTTCGGAATACTTAAAGGAAATGCTTCAAGTTACATGCTAAGTATGTATTTTGGTTATTTCATTAAAGCCAGGTGCATATTAAGTACTTCAACAGATCATGAATTGCTTCTGAATCGCCTTTAAAAAACATTTTTTTGTCTACTGCCTACGCACTAAAGTCAGATTCTGCGTTAAATCCAGTCTGATTGTCAATGGATTGGCTCCTTGCTTGATGTCTTAGTGTCTCATCCAGCATTACTTCGGAGGCTTACTTTCGGGAAACTTAGAAATATTGTTTAGAATTGCTTAATTAGCTTATGGTTCGCATGTGTTGCATTTTGGTTAGTTCTTTCAAATCCATGCGCATGTAAAATCGTCCAACAGATCATACACTTACCTTTTTACCTCTGAATTTATGCCAAAAGAATGCCCATTTTGGCTACTACCTTCACATTCTGCATAAAAGAATACACACCTTTTCTGAAGGACGAAGTATAGCAGGACATGCCAGAAGCAGATGGCCGTCAGCGTCTATATCAACGCCAGCGTAGCGCTGGTAGTCATAGACACGACTGCGCAGAGGTGGAGCATCGTTGAGCGTCAGCCGAAGGAGCAGAAAGTGTGGCAACTTTGGTCCTTTCTTCATCTCGGCCACAAATGTCCTGCCCGTCACATATACCTCCTCAAGGCTGCCTGTATTCGCGTTTCCACGGGCACAAATCTCGCTCGGATAGAGCTCACCGTTGTCGCCTAGATTGAGATGAATCCACGTCTGAATGACGACGTCCTCCGGTTCCAGATATTGACTGACGCCAGGCTCGCCGACCATCGTCTGCGCCCGTTCCTGCAGACCATGTGAGCATCCAGATTGCGGGTGTGACGTAGACTCGGACGACCTGGGCATGTAGCTGACCTCCTCCTCTTTGCCGGCCAACGGGATCGACGAGCCTGGAGCGGCTATGATGAAGATGTAGGGCAGATCTTCAAGGCAGATGAGCAAACTGTCTGCAGCGTAGGCAAGGGCAACAATCTTTCGTGCCCTTGCATGCGCTTCGCCGGTGTCTTTGATACTCGGTGCAGCTGAGACACACTTACAGAGTTCGTCGATCAGGTCGAGGCCGCGAAACAGAAATTGGATCTCGTAGTTGGTGTCCGAACCATCCACCACCTCGTTCAGGCTAATCGAGCCGGCTGTCGTGGCAACCGTCGTGCCCTCTGAACTCGGGCATTTTGCCTTATCCTCTTTTTCTCTGGTGGGCACGGCCTGGTAACCCAACCGTGACGGCTGGATCCGTTGCTGGCCTGAGCTCGGCACGTACATGCTGACGATGGTGTTGAGCCGATCACGCACCGATCGCCCCCGACGCTTCACATCCGGCGGCCCGGATGGTCGACTTTCACCATTCGACTCGCCCTCCCAGCGGTTTTCGGGGGTCTCGTCGATCGGCTCCTGCGTAAGGACGCTCTGGTAGACAGGCCGGTACAGCGACATGTGTATTGCCAGTGATGCCCTGTAGCACACTTCGTCTTAAAGGCACCGATAGGCTTAATCTGTGCAACAGGATGACTAAGGCTGTAAGCAAATGTGTGCTATTGCGTGAGCAATAAACTTTTGTACCGGAGACGATCGGCAGTGCGTGCGGTGACGTGATCTTGACTAGACGCTGTGATTATGAACCCCGGAGATCGGCCTAGTCCAGATGACCCTCGACTTATTGCCCTTGTTCGGAAAGAGTATTTACTGTCAAACTATACGTGCGTATGTGCATCGGCTCAATGTTGCAACTTCGTCTTTAGGCTGTAGTTTTAGTACATGAAGTTGTGTGGATGAGGGTCTGCTTTAAATGCATAAATCAGCTGGGTATGCAATAAAACCAGCCAATTAGTTCTTTACGCCCTGAATGCTGTTGTCACGTCCGCCGCAGAAGCCAGGTCAGGCTATTCCGGATCAATGTAGACCGCCGCCTAAAGGGCGATCTTCAAGACAGGATGAGCTGACCGATTCTTGTTCGTTTGTATGGCACTTTTTCTACTTGTTCCGTCAGGTGCTGCTCTATCCGCCCTCATGATAGAAGAACAAACGTATCAAGGAGAGAGGATGAGATCGTGAATGTATGTGTGTGTGTGAGAGAGAGAGTATGAGAGCAGAAGAGCTGGAGAGCTATAGTTTTTGGGTCATGAGGCCTTAGGCTTGCACAAAAGTTGTAGTCGTCAAAATTGTTAGGCCCCGACTAACATTGGCATCGTAACAATCGAAAAGCTCACTACAATTCTTTAAAATCTAGATAACTGTATATATATATATGCTCACGAGCATGCTCAAACACTGACATGCAAACAAAAAGCTTTGCTAGTATGCCAACTGTAGCAGATTTGACTGGCAGACCTCACATACACCCAAGTTGGCATAGGCCAAGATACCAAAATGTTGCTGTGCTTGCATACGTGGGCTTAGATTGGCCTTCACAACCAATCATCGCTGTCCTCAGCGTTGCCATGCCGTTTATCAGCCCGTTAGTTCGTCAGCCTCGAGTAGAACGAGATAAGAGAATATATCTAACCTTTGATTTTACAAAAAACACTGATAATTAACTGTAGGCTGACTAATTCAGCAAAAAGTTAGTCCAACTGTGTGGCGCTAACTCCAATCGTTTGAGTTGGAAGAGGACAAAGACTCACTTTGCACAGGATAGCAGAATGTACATTTTTACCCAGAGGCACGCATACAGGGAGAACACGATGCAGAAAAAGCAGGAAAATAGACATTGCCGAATGGGCGCTTTAAGCAAAGCCAGCAATTCTCTCGCACTTGGCAATACTTCGAAGCATGTAGGTACCAACAAAAAGTTGTCATCTGCAGGTAATCAGCAAAGGCCAAGAAAAGCGACGATGATGATGGGTAATGAGTATCTAAGGCAATGTGTGTATGAAAACCGTTATTAAATGTATTCGAAATGTGACACTATTTTAGGCTGACGCTCTTTCGCTTTATTGCTGGGAAAATCCTCTTGTAAGTACGATTAGCTTTGGCAGTCTCAAATCTTTCGTTGCCATGTTCATCCCCCAAGGTTCGTCCTAGAACGGAATTCGTAATGCGATGCAACCATAACTATGTCTGAATGGCATATAAATCTAATTAATTACTGTTAGCCCTCCCTGTTTAGACAAATAATAATA